CATTAATGGAGGACTAACCTCCTAATTCTTGTCAAGGTGAACTGAAGATTTGGTTCAACAATTACTGTGAGATCTAAACTATTTAACTGCTTCATCCATTTATTGGTATTGTATGTTTTCTGCTTTTTGTCGTTATAGTTATCGTGTATGATTGAATAGATGCGCAATATTTAATTATTCACGTAGGCTATTGTGCTAATTAGGGGTAATTGAATACGTAATTGTTCGTTATCTCTATCTAAGTAGCAACTGGCGTAATTGGGTTATGTCAGGGGAACATACGATCTAGCTTAAACAAACCCTCGTAGCGTGTTTGTTGGTTAGGGTTAGGCCTTTCTAATTATTAATGCAAACCAGAAATTAAATCCTACGGTCGTACCTAGGGTTGTTTCCGAGTTAGAGAAATAGTTAACGGTCGTACCTTAACTATCGAGAAATTAAGGAAAGGTTGGTTGTTTATCGCGTGCATGACAACTATAACTAGTATATTAATAAATATTGGAATTATCTGTGAATCGATGATCAGTGCATGAACCATTTCTGAAATGTACCCTTGGTTAGAGTTCTCCTAATTATTTCTCCCAATTAATCATTTTGCACATTTAATTTATTTAGTTAGCAGTTCATTAGCATTTAATCCTAAAACCCCCATACTTTGAACTCTAGAAGAAACGAATTATCCCCAGTCCCTGTGGATTCGACCCTACTCACCGCTGTATACAAAATCTGTATTTCTCTTGAGTAGGTAATTATTATTGCACAGGCTCGACTCCTATCACCTAAGCAAGATGTTTCTTAGTGCTATTGGAAATTCTCACTCTCTCTTGTAACAATTGAGAAGCTGCTAGTATGGGTCGTTTGGATTGTCTTCAATTTCACTTTATTTACATACATTGATTTGCTTGCATCATCAACGTATTTTCCAATCATCTTTTGGTCTCACATACATCATATCAAAAAAGTGCTACAGTACTTTTTCACAAAATTATCTCAAATAATTTATAATCTAAAGTCTAAATGAGGCCCTAGAGGTAAGCTATAGGTTAAAGGGTGTTAACTTCAAATTGGAACGGTATGAGGAATTGTACCACCACTCAACTAAAGGAATCCATTTACTCTATTGGGTAGGAAACTCTCCAGTCATGCACCTCAAGTAGGACTCCACATATTGATTGAATTTTCACTTTGGCCATCAGATTGAGGATGGGACGATGAACTATAGTGTATTTCAGCTCCAAATAGCTTAAACAACTCTTTCCAAAAACAACTTAGAAATATTTTATCTTTATCAGATACTATTGATTTAGGCATACCATGTAATTTAAACATGTGATCCAAAAAGAGCTAAGCCACTTGCTTGGCTGTGAAAGGATGAGTGAGTAGTATAAAGTGTCCAAATTTGGTTAAGCGATACACCACTACCATTATTGTGTCATAACCTTGAGATGTGGGCAAGCTTTCTATTATGTCCATAGTTAAATGTGTCCAAACCATTTTTGTATTGGTAGTGGATGTAGAAGCCCTGGATGAGGAACATGTTCATGTTTATATTTTTGAGAAGTATCACAAGTTTGCACAAAGTTTATCACATCCTTTTGAGAGTTTGACAGTAGAACAAGGATTTTATCCTCTGCCAGCATCCCCTTTGTCCTGAGTGTCCACCAACTACAGATGAATGCAAAGCCGTGATCAACTTATTCCTTACTCCATTTGCTAACCCCACATAAATCTTGCCATTGTGCCTTAAAATGCCATCAGTCTATGCATATAATGGTTGAGTTGTAGGATCTAGTAGTATTTGAGAAATAATATTGTGGCAGTGTTCATCTGAATCATAGCTATCTTGAAGCTTTTTCATCCATACTGGCTTGACAGTAAAAATGGACAGACAAGATCCTTGGTGTAGTGATTGTTCAACTTCACTGTCTTAATGTCTTGATAATGCACCTACCACTTTGTTTTCTACCTCCTTTTTTATACTAGATTTCGTAATCTAGGCCTAAGAGCTTGGTTAACCATTTATGCTAAAGTGCAATAGTTTGTTTTTGATCCAGCAAGTATTTTAGTGATTGGTGATCTATTTTGATTATGAAATGGTAACCAACCAAATAATGCCTCCATTTAGTGACAACTAGGAATGTAGAGAAATAGCTTGAATCGAGCTCTTGAGTAGCTCGGTTAGCTACTCGACTCGAGCTCAAATTGAGTTCGAGAGTTGCCCGCTGAGTTAACGAGTCAAGCTCGAGAGTAGGTAGTAGACAAATTGTAAGCTCGACGAGTAACAGCTCGAGCTCGGTAGACATTAACTTAATATATTTTTTGATCATTAATTTACTCTTTTGGGTTTGTAGTTACAATATTTACAAGTTTAACTAGTTTATGTTATAATATCAATGAAGGGTGAATAAGTAATTTCTGCTTGAGAAATACTATGAAAAGATGAAAACCAAAAAACGAAAGCTTGCTCTCTCAACTCTCACAAATCACAAAACTATCACAAGGCGGCACGACATTTCGAGCTTTAGCTTTAGCTAATCTTCCTTCTTCTTCTCCTAGACTTGGAGATGCGAGCTCAAAAATGAGTAGGTTGTAGTGGCCAACCTTCGAGCTAGGGTTTTGAAATCAATTCAAAACCCACCAATTTTAGCAGCTGCATTTGACAAATTGAGATATTTAGTGTGCATTTGTGTAGTAAATATGTGTATTATTAGGTTAAATTTTATAAATTTAGTATTAATTTTGCCTCCTCCAAGAAACTGCCAAGTATTTGCCCACTTGAGTAGAACAAGTAGCAAGTTTCTTCGACGAATCACCAAAATCTCCTTGGAAGTGAGCCATAGTAAAAACCTTCACTCTCCCTAGTTGCTCAACAAACCTTTCCACCATGGCAATTACACCTTTAGCATCACAAGCAGCCCCCTCAAATTTTGCTTTACCGTGAGCTTTCCATAGGAACCACACGAAATTAGGCAAGGAATCACCGCTCTAATATGGTCCTGCGACACAAATGAAGTCGAATGGAACCATGACAAGCACATTGCAAAAACCAACAAGGAACTTTAAGATAGAATACCAATCTTTTTGAATAAGTCCAGACATGTAATGCAACAGGACCAAGCAAGAGAAAAGATGTGCCAAAGATTCCTCCTAAGCCAAGCAACATGAGCAACGAGAAGCCAACAAAATTCCCTGACACTACAAAACTGAATCCAGTGGGATAACCATTCCTCAAAACCTTCCAAACGAAAAAGATGTTTCAAGGGTACAATATCATTCCAAATAAACTTATCTACCACCAATTTGTTCCGTTTTTGGTGAATAGTTTCCCAAGCCGATTTGACAAAAATTCACCTGTCGAAGACTCCAACCAAACCGTATAATCCACTTGATCAAGGAACAAATGAATTTACTGATGAACCAACGTGAATCAGCAACCAGCACTTCAACAAGTCCCGATTCCATCCCTCATCGTAAAACTCAGCTAGCAACATTTGCAGAGGATCAACAAGAGCAACAACCTCAGCAAGACGCCGATCAGCAGCAACGATCAAACAAAAAATCGACAAACCCCTTGCCTAGACACTACCTAATTTACTCTTAGATACTTCTCTAACACTCTCCAGCTGCCGCCAAGATACAGGTGGGGTCCATGAACTTGAGCTAACATTGGATGCACTCATTTTATGTATTTAGAGTGCACAAAATCTACCCATAATGAGTTCTTTTTCAGTAACCTCCGCCAAAGTTTACAAACAAAAGCCTTACATATCCGCAAATGACCAAAATCCTAAACCTCCTTCATCAATTGGATAACAACATTTGTCCCAAGATGCCCATCGAATACTCCTAACTCCACCAAATTTGTCCCAAATAAAAGCATTACAAATTCTCCCCAAATTTTGAAGAATAGCTCTGGGAGGATGCAAAACTTGTACTAAATAGATAGGCATAGACGAGAGTACATGCTGTTGCAAAATCAACTTACCACCTGTAGAAAGTAATCACAAGCTCTAGTGAAATAACCGATCCCGTATCACTTATCACTCATCACTAATCACTCATTATTACATAGGCATAATGAGGCCAAGGGTTCGACCCTTGATTTTCATCACTTATCAATTTCACTAATGTGTGATTTCTTCAAATCCAAATGAGTGTGTAGTGTATGTGTATAGTGCATCCGTTACCTTCCATCACTTGCCACTAATATGTAATTCCTCCAAATCCAAACAGGTGACCCAATGGGTGTGTAATTTCTCCAAATCCAAATGAGTAATCCAATTGGGCCTTCCTTAGATTTTCAAATTACAACAGGTGACTCAATTGGACCTTCTTTGGGTAGCACCTCTTGCCTTCCATTACTAGCCATTAATATGCGGTTTCTTCAAATTCAATGCACGTATGTGGTGCATCTGTTACTAATATGTAATTTCTCCAAATCCAAGCGGGTGACCCAACCGGTGCGTAATTTCTCCAAATCCAAATGAGTAATCCAATTGGGCCTTCCTTAGATTTTCAAATTACAGCAGGTGACTTAATTGGACCCTCTTTGGGTGGCACCTCTTGCCTTCCATTACTAGCCATTAATATGTAGTTTCTTCAAATTCAATGCACGTATGTGGTGCATCTGTTACCTTCCATCACTTGTCACTAATATGTAATTTTTTCAAATCCAAATGGGTGACCCAACCGGTGCGTAATTTCTCCAAATCCAAATGAGTAATCCAATTGGGTCTTCCTTAGATTTTCAAATTACAACAGGTGACTCAATTGGACCCTCTTTTTGGGTGGCACCTCTTGCCTTCCATTACTAGCCATTAATATGTGGTTTCTTCAAATTCAATGCACGTATGTGGTGCATCTGTTACCTTCCGTCACTTGTCACTAATATGTAATTTCTCCAAATCCAAACGGGTGATCCAATCGATGCGTAATTTCTCCAAATCCAAATGAGTAACCCAATTGAGCCTTCCTTAGATCTCTAAATTCAAACTGGTGACTCAATTGGACCTTCTTTTCAGATTCTGAAAGGAGTCCAAGTAGAGATATTGAAGCGTGCAAGGCAACAGCCAGTCCTCCTCTGGAAACGACTCTACTTCATCACAGGGACCCCAAATGTTTAAATTCATGAGAGAGGGGAGTTTCTCCAAACCCCACTCTCTCCTGCGACTCATGAGCTTCTTGCAATCGTAGATGTAAAGGGATTGTAGGGTGGAGGGCAAACTCCCTTCCGGGAAGCACTCAATTTCTGGACAATTGCTTAGACGCAGAGATTGAAGAGACGGGAGGAGGGATTCCATCCGTTGCGGCAGCGGCGTGAGCTTCTTGCAATCGCATATATGAAGCGACGCTAGACTGGGGGCTGGAAAAGACAATATTAGATCATCGCAGCCCGAGAAGGACAAGGATTGAAGTGACGTCATCACACTGCTAGTACTAGTAGTAGTAGTTGTTGTTGTTGTCATGCCACTCTGTTTCCCAATCCCAAGTGCAAGTGCAGCAGGAACTGAGAGCATCTCAACACTCTTGCATTTATAAATTGCAACAAATTTCAGCATGGGAAACGAGGCAAGCCACTCGACTTTGACGTTGACGGAGTCACAATTTAGTAATGTCAAGTTCTCCAAGGCCCCACCACCCTCCCCGCTTGAACTCTCCAATTCCAAATTGCAGCGTCCCTTGTACCGAAGTGATTTAAGTGAGGCAGGTGGTCTACTCACGTGCGAGGGTGAGAGAGACCCACAATCATCGACCGTCAATACCTCAAGTCGGGATAATTGGTTGAGCTGTAGGGGCAACTCTTCCAAATTTTTTAGCGCTGAAATATTCAATTCCTCAAGCCTGGATAATTGGTTGAGCTGTAGGGGCAACTCTTTCAAATTTTCTAGCTCTGAAATCTTCAATCGACGAAGAGATGAAAAATTTTGTTGATTCTCTCCATTCAGGATGCTCAATTGACCATTGGGACGCACAAGATTGCCGCAGCCTGATATCTCAATGCTTTGCAGCGATGCAAGTTGTCGGGGAAGTTCTCCAATCAGTTTGGGACAATCAATTATACTGAGTTCTTCAAGTCTATTGAAGACTTCACATTCTGGTATTTTCCATCTCTCCCACTCTGGCAACTCCTCGATTGTCAACTGTTTCAGAAATGGGAATGGTTTGGTTGCACTGACGTCTCCATAAAAATCTTGTGTCAAGTCTGATATACAACTCATTCCAACAATTTCAAGTGATTGCAAGGACAGTAGCTGCCCGAGTGAAGGCAAGGAGTGGCAATATTTACACCGAGATAGACTCAAGGATTCCAAACTGCTTAAAGAAGAGTTGCCTAGCCAATCTGGAAATGTTGTCCCGCCATATCCTATGATCTTGAGATGCTTTATGCTTGAATGAGGTTGTAAATTATCAAGCACATCTCTCACAGCTTGCGAATCATTGATAGCACCATTCCACTCCAAAGTTAACTCGTCAAGGTGTTTCTTGCCCTTTAGATTCGCCATCGATGCATCCCTACCACTACAAACATTTTCTAGCCCGGAGAGGATTAGCTTACCACGTAGCATAGGAAGCTTGCCCAACTCCTCAATCACTGAACCGCTGTCCTTGCCTATGACAAAAGCAGTCAAGACTTGAAGGTTTATCAGTCTACCAATTTGTGGTGGCATTTTCTTCAACGGAGTTCCACTAATATCCAGGCAACACAAGTTAATTAACTTTCCCAGATTTTCCGGCAACTCTTCAAGTTCTCTGCAGTATGACAACAACAAAGTTTGTAGATTATAGAAACTACATATCCATTCCGGCAGCTCCTTTATTTTTGTTGAAGAAAGATTCAGAAATCGAAGTTGTTTGAAACCACTATATGAGTTTGGTAACTTCACAATATTCTCATAATAGGACAACGATAGAAACCTTAAAGACATGAATTGGGGCAAGGCATCCTCTAAGAATTTGTTGCTTAGACGAATCATAGGAGCCGTTCTCAATGGCAAGAATGTTCTTATATTCTTAGTCTGACTCAAGAGATTAAATTTGTGAAATGTGTCATACCAACTACGATGGTATGAAAAATGTCTTGCACCAGATATTGTAGCATTGCCTTCCTGATGATCTTCCAACCTGAGGCAGTATTTCCCAAAAATAAAGCAAGCCAAATCGTTCACAAGGTCATGCATGGAGAAAGTATGGTCAATTGACTGATGAAATAATGACCTCATTCTCAGTTCATGAAAGCACTTTTCACCCTCATTCTTAATTCTTTTATTTTCTCCAGGATACCCTAAAAGATCATTAGCTTGCCATAACTGAATAATTTCCTCTTTTCTAATCTGGTAATCTCTGGGGAATACAGCACAATAAGCAAAGCACCTTTTAAGATGGGAAGGAAGATGAATGTAACTTAATCTCAATGCTGGCAGGGGGCCATCTGGAATATCCATTTGAGTCCACTCTTCACTTACTAAAATCTCTTTCCATTCTTCAGGGGTAGTTTTGGAACGCAAAATTCCTGCAACTGTTTTCACAGCCAAAGGCAACCCTCGACATTTCGTCACAATTTTGTTTCCTATTTCTTCAAGTTCTGCATTTTCATTGCCATCTCTATTTTCAAATGCATGCTTCTTAAATAAAGACCGGCAATCTTCCTCTAGCATGGAATCCAAATGATGAATTGACCTTTCTTTGGCCATCATCCTTGCAACTTGCTGATTCCGTGTTGTAACAATGATCTTACTTCCACGTGATCCACCTTTGAAAGGGCTCCTTAAATTATCCCACTGATTGTAGTTACTATTCCAAACATCATCCAGAACAAGAAGAAACTTTTTCTCAGTTAGGCCACCTCGTAGCTTCACTTGAAGGGAGAGCAAGTTATCACTCTCACCAAAAGAAATGCGGAATTCCCTTAGGATTTCTTTTGTTATCCTGGTAGCATCATATTCTTCTGATACGCAGACCCATGCCCTGGTAGGAAAACTCAGTTCCACCTTCGAATCTTCGTAAACCATTCGAGCCAAGGTGGTCTTACCGAGCCCAGCCAGTCCAACTATTGGAATCACAGTGATATTGTCTCTGTCTGCATCCTCGAAGCACAACATTTGAATTATCTTCTCTTTATCAGCATCTCTCCCAATAAAGGTAGTCTCATCAACCAAAGATGTTTCAAATTTGTGATGTGACTTTATTCTGGAATGAAGAACTTGCAAACCCAAGGGAATAATTTGTTTGTTATATCCCTCCAGCCTCGCCACTATTGTTTCTATCTCGGGCTTGATCCTACTAAGAAACTCATCACCCGAATATGTACAAGTGCTGGTTGAGCTTTGGTACTCGGTTTCTACCTTAATTCGCAGAGCTTCAGTGCTGATTCTGTCCACTAAATCCTCTGCCTGATAAAATGTATCATGAAGCTCTTCAAGCCATTCCTTGACATATTGGTTCCGTATTTCCTTGTTCTCTGCATCATCGAGCACGGCTCCAACAGTGCGTAACTCACTCTTGAGCTTCTTGAGGAGATCATCATTCGCCTTCTGATTACGAAACAAATTCACGAATTCCGGCGTAGCCATCCTATCAAATAGCACTTGAAGGAAAGCGGAGAGGAATGAGCCTCCCACTAAGGCAGCAGCCATATATCCAGGCAGAGGTAAAAGTGAAAGCGACTTGCACAAGGAAACCAACGAGAGAGAGAGACCTGCAATAATTTTGTTTGGGAAAAGCCAAGCTCAAAGACAGAAAGAAGGAAAGAACATGAACAGTAAAGCAGTTCATTTGGTGCTGCTTCATTTGATCTTTTTGTTTAATCAATATGCATTAGTAAAACAGGAATTGGCAGCCAAAGATTTGATATTTTAACTAATTTGGGTTTTAACTTTTAACCTGCCGAAAGTTGTACAACACGCGTATTTTGACTTTTGACTTTTTGGACAAATTACCTTTTATGATTTGATATTTTATCACATAATCCCATATGATTTAAATACCTATATCTAACTCCCTCATGAATTGGGTTAAAGTGTTACCATTAGTTTTTTCGTTAAAACTAACAAATGATTAATAGTAAAAAGTTTAAGTCAAACTAATAAATTGATAATTTACCCTTTTCTTATTTCTTTTTTTTTCCTCCAAACATAAAAAAGGAGAAATTGAAATAAAAATAAATAAATAAGAACTAGAAAATACAATTAAAGATATTGTTTAAAAATCTATAATGATATTTGCAGTAAAAAAAGATTTGATATTTTTTGTTCCTTATATATTTGTTTTATATTTCCCTTCCTTCTTTTTTTGTTTCTTATTTATGTTTTTGTTCCCTTCCATCTCTTTGTATTTGGAGAAAATTAAGATTTTGTAAATCAAAGTATAGGTTTTCAAAATCATCTCTTTTCTTTCCCAAAAAAAAGAGATAGAAAAGGAAAAAAGAAAAAAAAGCAGTGAAAGGGTGAATTTGTCAATTTATTTGTTTGACTTTAACTATTTACTATTCACTGTTAGTTTTAATAAAAAAAAAAAACTAATGGTGACATTTTAACCCAAACTATGAGAATGTGATATATATGTTTTTAAACCATAGGGGAGTATATAGTAAAACACTAAATCATGAGAAGTACAAGTAATTTACCCTTTTTTGGTAATTAATACATAGGCATAGGATAGCATTTTGAGTCCCTATTCAAACGGAATCGAACTTTCAGAAGGGGGAAAAAGAGAAGGAAAATGGAAAAAAAGGGAATAAAGAATATTTAAACGTTTAAAAAAATGAGAGCAGTCAGCACATAACATTTGAAACAACAAGATAGAAATTGGTAAAAAAACCACACTATTAAATAATATTTTTTCCCTCACTCTCATCATTATTATTCGTAATATTATTTTAACCTTTTGCAATCGTGTATAAATCCAATATCAATTCCATTAAAATCATCATATCCACAGCGAAAAAAGAAGTTTATGATGGGAATCAGAATTCAATTCATTCCAAGAATTAAGAGTTTGAAAACCAAAATTCGAAGTTGATACGAATTTGAGTTACACCAATTTCACCTCCAATTTATCTAATTTACAATATTGAAACGTTAAAGATGATTAGAACTTAGGGGGGCATGAAGGATAATCGGGAATTGGCTGATTGTTAGCTTAGTAGTGTATTAATTGAATATTAGTTCGTGATTTAATTGAGGTTTCCTCTTGTAACACTTAATGGATGATCATAATAAAATTCCATCTTTTGCTGAAAAAAAAGGAAAAAAAAAAAAAAGATGATCGTAATGACCGTATGTGACAAATTTTAACAGAATTCAATAGAATTTGCAAAATTTGATAAAGAAAAGAAAATGAAGAAAAATGAAGCTTACGGTCAAACGGTATCGGGCTTGGTACTTATGGTCAGTCCAGCACTCGATGAAGCTTCTCTCCCTCTCGACTCCTTTTGTGGTGATACTGAAGAATGATGCTAGGAAGGTTTGGGGTAGAACCTGTGATCAAATAAGTTCGTTGTTGTTCCGCAAATATACAGAAAATTTATGAGCAAAGAAATTAGAACGTGGTCTGAAAGAAAATAATGGAAACTGAGCAAATACATGGGCCAGGGAGCAAAATGTGTGGCTAACAACTGTCCGGTACCCTTTTAATGGTGGGAAGATACGGTCATTGAATGGAGAGAAAAATTTGTCCTGTGATGTGATTAACCTACAATACTACGAAAGTAGAAATTGATTCATATATGAGAATAGGGGTGTTAATTTTCGACACAATTTGAATACATGATATGAATCTAACATGGGCTTGAATCAGAATCGAATCGAATTCGATAAATCCGAAAAAAAATAGGTCGGATTCAAATCATCCACAGGTTGACCGATAACCCGTTTATAAATTAAAAATAATTTAATAAATATAAAAAAAAATTTATCTAACTAAACTAAGTTATTCTTTTTTCCCCCAAGGTATGGTTTATTTAACTTGTGTGAAGTTAGAATTATTAAATTTGGAAAAATGATATATTACATTATTTTCTATTTTTATAGTATCTTAATTTATTTTTAGATCTAATTTAGGATAAAACACTTTTATGGTGTTTTAACTTATTTCAAATCCGGTTTGGAATTGTTTTATCAAAATTTTTATTATTTAATTATGTAATTAGTCTTATGCGAAATTTATTCTGTTAGAAACTACAATAGTAAATTAATAAGTTGAAATTATGTTTCAGGTTATTCGAGTGGACTTGCTAATTCGTCCATCCAAAATTTTCAGGTTCAGGTCAAGTATTCTGACCCATTTTGAATTGACTGATCGTGTTTGGGTCAGTAGATTTTCTATTGTACTCGGATGTCAACTCGACCAGTCAACCTATTTTTGACCTGATTGCTGCCCCTAGTAACTCTTATTCAATGCTCACATCTATATTATATTATTATGATAAGCTTCCCTTACTCAAGGAATGCAAGCGGAGAGAAATCATGCTTAATCGGAAGCGACTTTTTCTTTAATCTTTTAAACATAGATTTATCTATTTACTTTGATACTGTATAAAATTATATTTTAAATTTAAGTTGGAATTAGTTAGCAAGCAAACAAGTAGTATATTTTCTCTTCTAATTCTTTCTTTAGATTCTATTTGCAAGAATTTCTTGTTTTAAACAGACATGGTGGACAAAATTTTCAACCAACAAAAGCAAAACAAAAACAAAAAGGAAGAAGAAGAAGAAAAGTAATGGCGGTTGGTGAGGAAATTAAACGACATTGATTCCTTTTATTTTTTTTTATTTTTTTGGCTGACTACAATAATATTCGGGATAATTTCAAAAACCTTCCCTAAGATTTTTAACAATTTCACTAAGCTCCTCTAAAATTTAAAAAATTATATATACCTCTCAAATCATTTAAAATGATAATTTTACTCTTAAATATTTTAATGAAATTCCCTTATTTGGTATGCTTACACTTAGAATGAGTTTTAAAATTATATTTTCATTCTTTTTCCTTCTTATTGCTTTTTTTTTTGCTAATGAAACTATAAAACTACCACTATTGTCTCTAGTTTCTATTATAATCAAATATCGAACTAGTGATTTTTTTGACAAGTTAATTTTATATATTATCCAATGTTTTTGCTGATCTTTGTTTTCTATTTTTGGTATTAAAATTAACAATAAATCAAAAATAGCCCCAAAGCACTACTAAATTATGATAATCCCATTACTCCAAAAATTCATAACTTCTAAATTAATTATTTCAAAATTTCCTTTTCTATCTTATAAATCTAAATCTATAACAAAATACCATCAAAAGTATCATATCATAGTAATAAAATTATTGTTATAGTTGTTTATCGTAGATATGGACATAAAAAATTTGGCACACTTTCCTTATGATTATACTAAATAATCTTATAATTATATATAAAAAAATAAATTAAAACTCATTACACAAGGGTATTTTTGGGTATTCATTTAAAAAATTAACCAAGTTAATATTATTTTAAGATTTTGTTACTAAAACTATCAAATTAAGGGAAGTCAGTGTAATTTTTCAAACCATAGGGAAGCTCAATGAAATTGTTATAAATCTCAGGGGAGGTTTCTGAAATTATCCAACAATATTTCTATAATCTAATTTATCCTATTCTATAGAGAGAAGAAAAAAAACTGTATAAAGAATTAGTAAACATACACACTCGATTAAATTAAAGAAGTATTTTGACAACTTCTTCAAAAAAATTTTTTTTCAAAGGATGGAATTTGAATCTATGGTACTTAAGCCTTTTTTTGTTGGTGGCCACCAATCTAAATCCCTTTGGTGGTGATCAAGAAAAGGACAAGACTGACTGACAAGTGACAAGAAATTGTCCTGTGAGGTGATTACTCAAGAGTGACTGCAAGACCTATGGTACTATTTCAAGAAAAGGAAAATAATTGTTTGGATAGAGTATTATTTCAAATAATTATATAAAATAATTACGGTAATATTTTTTGTGATATGATGTATGCGAGATAAAAAGATAGTTAGGAATATAAAAAGGTGGGCTGAAAAATGTGTTTATAATACAAGCAAAATATTATTTTAGAAAAATTTGATATACAAACATAATGTTTATTTTCTTTATGCAAAATTTTGGCCCAAAGTAAAATAAAGGTTGTACAACACATTTTTCTGGTTTCATGGCCTGCATATGCATTCTGAGAAACTCCTTGCACCCTTTTATTATGTATTTTATCAAATTATACATGTACCCTGATCAGGAAGTCTTGGCCAGTTAGGTCAGGATAAGAATTCAATCTGTAATTTGGGGTCAACATGAAAGTACTAAATTTTTTGTAGGGCCAAATTTTACTCTTTTTTTTTTCTTTTAAAGATCTTTTTTTAACCCTCTCTTTCATGCCAATATCCTTCCCAGCTCAAAATTGTCATCTGGATTCGTGAACAAGAATCTAATAGTGGAAAGAACTCTAAAAGTCATCCCTAACCTCATGAAAATCTTTCAGAATTTCAGGGGCAAATAACATAAATTTTTAGACTTGGGGACGATCTGCTCCCCTTGTTTTTAAGTCATTCGAAGTTCAAAAACAGAGACTATTTTAGGTTGATTATGTATTAAAAAAAAGTTGATTATGGACTATGGCATCACATTTTTTTGAAGTTTATAATTTGACCAGTGATTTTGAAATGGAAGATCTTTATAGTTTTAGAACTCAAATCAATCTCCATATAAACTCAAAATTATCCTCTTTCTACAAATCTTATGGGCATGGGATCAAGAGTTTAAAAATCAAACTCATTTTCATCAATTTTAACTCCAGTTGATCCAAGATTTACACTAATAAATGCGTTAACATCACCAGAGCTTGATTTTTTTGGTCTTGTTTTTGGACAGATGGAAGGGGGGAGGAGGAAGTTTTCCTAGTATGAAGGCCCTATTTGTTCTACAAATTTCGCAAGGAAAAGGAAATGGAAGAAAAGAAAAGTAAATTCCTCTGGAAATGTTAAATTCCTTATCATGTTTGGTTATGAGCGAAAGGTAGTAAGTAAAATGATCTCTACAAAAGTTGGTTTTTTTTCATTTTTTGGTCCTGTTTGATTTGTGGATTTTGAAAAGGAAATCCTTTGCTTTTCTTTTTTCTTTTAAATGAAAATTAACTAATAAGAAGTTGAATTTTGAAAAGGAGGTAGTAAGGAAAATGATCTCTGCAAAAGTTTTTTTCCCCCTGTTTGGTATGTAGATTTTGAAAAGGAAATCCTTTGCTTTTCTTTTTCTTTTTTAGTTATGAAAATCAACCAATAAGAAGACAAATTTTGAAAACGAAATGGAAACGAAAATCTCTTTTTTTCTTTTAAAAGATTAAAAAATTAACAGACAATCAATTGAAATAGGGCAAATGACACTTTGCCCCCTGTGATTTAGTGTTTTTTTACATAACCCCCCTATGGTTTCACAAGTTATATATAACCTCCTCATGGTATGGATTAAAATGTCAAAATGACAGAAATGATAATTGGTAATGGAGCTAGTTAAAATATTAAAAATACCCTTATGTAAAGTTAAAAATTATCATTAACCAAGAGGAGTTATGTGTATATTTTAAAAACCATAAAGGGGGTTATATGGTAAAGTATTAATGACAGGGTGTCGAAGCCTGTGCAATAATAAATACCTGCTCAAACTAAAAGTAATTTCTGTAGATAGCAGTAAGCAGGGTCGAATCCACAGGGACTGGGAGTAATTGTTCCTTTCCAAATTCACAGTGACAAAGGGGGGTGTTTTTGTGCAGAAGGTGACAATCAAAGAAATTCAACTAAAATCTAAGAAACTACTAAAAATTAAATAACAAATTACTAAAATCTAATGAGTGATAATTAAGGATCTAGCCAAAGAATAACTTCAGCAATGGTTCACCTAATTGATCATCGATAAGCAAAGGCAATTCCAATTATTTACTAATAAATAGGTTATAACTGCCAAACAAGCGACGACAGTCAACCCCTCCTTACTGTGTCGGTGATCAAGGTACGCCCTTTAATCACTGCCCTAATTGAGAAATAATTCTAGGTACGCCCGTAGAATTTAATTCCCCAATTGCCTTACATATTAGAGGAGCCCTATTCTAACCAAATAACACACTACCAGGGTTATTTTAGATTAGCCCGCGTATCCCCCTGACACGAATCCAATCATGCCAGTTATCACTATTTTGAGACAATTAAACAATTACAGATTTAACGTCCCAATTGACAATAGATTATTAAATTAACTAATTATCCGGATCCAAGACAATCAATTAATTAAACAACCATAAGCACTATAACCAGGGAATATGCAAATACCAATAAATAAGAGAAAAAGATAAAATTAAATCGATCTCACAATTTTAGATGACCCAAAGCATCCGTTGTCCCTTGACTAGAGTGAAGAAATTTAGCTCATATTTGATGAACAAAATCCGCGAGAAATTGGAGCGACACTAGCGGCCATCGGCCTCGTTCGTGAGAAATCAATTTATGCGAGTGAATAAGAAGAAACCAGCAACTACAAACAATAATGCAATTCCTCGTAAGGCTCCT